CTTTCCCTCACTTTGTCTTTCTCTCCAGTGAATGAACACACCCTGTGCAAAAATCTAAAAAACAAAACAAAACAAACTTGAGGTTTTCAAGTATTTATTAATGTCTTTTATGTAGTGTTGCCTCATTTTTAACTGACTGTTGGTTTTATGCTTTAAGGGTTACTATAATGAAAGATAAAGATACCAGGAAGAGTAAAGGGGTTGCATTTATATTGTTTTTGGATAAAGACTCTGCACAAAACTGCACCAAGGCAATAAACAACAAACAGGTAAGCTCTTCATTCCCATCAAGTTTTGTAACCCAAAATCCTTTGTGCTCATCCAGGCCACCAATGTGGGGATTTAGTACTGGGTCATCAGGAAACTCATGACTTATTTTTCTGTTTTTTAATGCAAAAATGCACATGACTTTTCCAATGTCCCAAGAGATGATCAAGTCTGATGGATATCCGTAGGTTCTGAGAGTATCTGAATTATAGGCAAAAAAGACAGGTCAGAACTTTGCTGGAAATCACTGGTAAAATCTAAGGAGTAAGAGTACTATAGGCGGCAGTAGTAGGTGGAGGGATGGTTAAGGTGCTAGATTCCCACAAGGTTGACCACATTTCTATTCACAGACACAGTGGCTTGAAAATCATGCCAGGTCTGTGTGCCTGCATACCCAAAATCCTGAGAGGAAAATAGAGGAAAAGGGATTGTGGTGTGGCCATCCCCTTTCAGAGATGATTTCTCTCTTTTGCCATAGTGCACATGCCCTATGGCAAAAAAAAAAAAAAAACAAAGAATACACCTAAGTCAGAAACTGCTAAAATAATCTGAAAATTAAAATGAAATTGAAGGTTTAAGGAAATGGGATGAAATAGTTTTAGGTTTCAGCGAAATACATCCTTCTGCATTTACATTTTTCTCTGGTTCAGTTATTTGGTAGAGTGATTAAAGCAAGCATTGCTATCGACAATGGAAGAGCAGCCGAGTTCATCCGAAGGCGGAATTACTTTGATAAATCTAAGTGTTATGAATGTGGGGTGAGTAAACCTAAAATTTAATGGCACTTTTGATAGTTCAAGGTATTTTTTATATCACATCTTTTATTTGTGCTCACCAAAACTTCTGATTGCCTAAGCCAGGTCATGAAAATTGTTTTAGGGACTCTAGATTTATCTAGTATGTATATCCATATTCATAGTATATATCAATTCTGAGAAATTCTAGATGAGTTTATTAGTCTGTTCATTTTGGTTTATGGATCCATAGATTTGTTACATTATTGTTAGGACATTTTTATGTTTCTTTAATCCCTCCCCGTATTCATTTATATATTTGTGGCCTGGTTTTTCTCAAAGTTACCTAATTATTAAGCCTTTTCAAAATTATATGGAATGGGAACCAGCAGTTAGCGTAATGGCTATGTCGCTGGATTCCCACGTAGTCGACCACGGTTCGTGTCCCGGACCCGGTGGCTTAAAACTCACGCCGGGCGCGTGTGCGTGTGTGCCCAAGATCCCGAGAGGAGAATGGAGGAGAGGGGATTGCGGCGTGACCATCCCCCCTGGGGGGTGATTTCTTGCTTTCTGTCTCTATGTCTCTCTCTGTCTGTCTGGCGAGCTCACGCGCCCTACAGTGAAAATCTCTCAAAAAAAAAAAAATTCATGTGGAATATGGACAACTGGTGGAATTATGGTTAAGGCTGTCATCCCAGACTTGGTGGCTTGAAAATCATGTCAGGAGCATGTGTGTGAGGATGTGTGTGTGCGCCCAAAATCCCAAGAGGAAAATGGAGGAAAAGGGTGTGTAGTGTGGCCATTCTCCCTGGGGATGATTTCTCACTTTCCCACTCTGTCTGTCTCCAGGGAGCACATGTGCCCTATAGCAAAAATCAGAAAAAAAAAAAATCTATACAAGATATACATTTTTTGGTATACCATTATTCCAAAACACAGTTTGGGCAATGCTTCTCTTAAGTGCATTTTTTCAGTGCCTTAGCTTCATGTATGTCCAATATACACAGTCTAGTTGATGCTTTGTGAATACTTGAAAAGCATAATTATTTTCCTCTTCTATTGTTCCAATCTTGGTTCAGTCTCTCTCCACACTCCACTCTAACATAGTATCTATTTTTATATGTATTTTAGTGTGCTGAAGTATATGAGAGTTCTTAAAGTTTTACAACTCAGTGCTCTAGCTCATTATGAATGAAAATCTAGCCCAGCACTATTAAATAAGAATGTAAAACAAGCCATACAACTATTTTTTTAAAAGAATTCTTTAATTTTATCTATTCATTTTCAGAGAGAGAGAGAGGGAAAGTGAAAAAGCAAGCCACTAGTTCATGACTTGAACTGTGGTTGGCCATGTGAGAGTGTCCAGTGCCTCAACCACTATGCCACCTGCCGGTCCCACATCATATAACTAATTTTGTATTTTCTAGAAGCCATGTTAAAAAAGAAACAGGTGGGGCCAACAGGTGGCATAGTGGTTACGGGCACTGGACTCCTACATGGCTGTCCGTGGTTTGAGTCCCGGACCTGGCAGCTTGCCTTTTCACTTTCTCTCTGTATATATCTCACTCGCTCACTTGCTCAGTCCCTCTCTGGCCGAATTAAAATAAAAAAATAAAATTAATTAAAAAGTTAAATGGAAATCCTAAAAAGAAGAAAAAGAAAGAAAAACATGTTTGGGTCAGTAGGTTAAGGCGGCTGAATCCTACACAGCTGACTGAGCGGTTTGAGTCCCACACTGTGCAGTGCAGCTTGAAAATCACTCCAGGAGAGCGCACATGCATGCCCAAAATTGCAAGAGGAGTATGGAGGAGAAAGGATTGCATCGTGGCCATCCCCCCTGCAGAGTGACTTCTCTCTCTCTCTCAAGTGAGCATACACGCCCTATAGCAAACAAACAAACAAACAAACAAAAACCTAAAAAACATAACAGGTAAAAAGTAGTAACATCTAGGGTCAACAGATGGCATAGTGGTTATATTTCTAGACTCCCACATGGCCAATCAGGGTTCAAGTCCTGGACCCAGTGACTTCAAAATCTTGCCAGGCACATATGTATGTGCCAAGGGTCCCAGGAGGAGACTGGAGAAGAAGGGGTTGTGGCTTGGCCATCGCCTTTGGGAGGTGATTTCTCACTTTCCCTTTCACTGTCTGTGTCTCTCCATCAAACGCATGCACCGTAAGATGAAAATCTCTTTGAAGGGTGGCAGGCATCTGTTGGCAGAGTGGTTATGTTGCTGGACTCCCTCCCACATGGTCAGCCACAGTTCATTCCCAGACCCAGTACCTTGAAAATCATGCTAGGTGCATATGCATGCATACATAATAAAGATCCCTGGAGGAGAAGGGATTGCAGTATGGCCATTCCCCCTGGGTGGTGATTTCTCACTTTCTCTCTCACTGTCTCTGTCTTTCTCTAGTGAGTACACGTGCCCTATGGCAAATACTTCTAAGAAAAAAGAAGTAGTAACATCTTTCATTTAATCCAATATCTATCTAAAATAGTATTGTTTAAATATGTAGTTAGTATATTTTTCTTTATTACGATCTTGTGTTCTTTTTTCATATGATGCTTTCAAAAATGCAATATGCATTTTTATCTCTTCAATGCATATCACTTCAGAGAAATTTTGAGTCCTCCCAATGTGGTTAGTAGCTACTGTAATTGAACAGTGCAGGCTGAATATAAGTATGAAAGGAGTAAAATGAAATTAATCAGAAACATGCAGAAGATAGTTTCTTTTGTTTTAAAAACAGAATATTAAGGAAATTAACAAGAATAGTTTAATCTCTATTTTATCAAATAGTAACTTAACTTTTTTGTACTTTGGGTAGATGATCTATTTAAATTTTGAATTTATTTGTATCTTGAATCTTGAAATTTAAGATACTTGAGGGAAGAATGCTTCTTTTTACTCAGTGAACCTAAGTATTCCCTAATTGTTAAAGTTGCCTTGGGGAGTTATTAAATCAGATTATTTCTTCCAAATAGTAAAGGAATGGGTTTTATCATAAATGTCTTCTGTATATTCCAGTATAGGAATTTTCCTTTTGAAATTCTGAAAGTTTTTAGTCTTTGTGTACCAGGAAAGTTTCTGTTAATAACGACAACAAATGTACTATTTTTCCTTTCCTTTTAATGGTAACACAAAAGGAAAGTGGACACTTGAGTTATGCCTGTCCTAAAAATATGCTTGGAGAACGTGAACCTCCAAAGAAGAAAGAAAAAAAGAAAAAAAAGAAAATTCCTGAGCCAGAAGTAGAAATGTATGTATATCTACTTCTGCTAAATGCATTATTGTATTGCTTTTATATTTGTCTTTTTACTGTTCATTGACTGCATTCTGCTTTTTTTTTTTTCCTTTCACAACTTAGTGAGGGGATACAAGAAAGTGAAGATGAAGGGGAAGATCCTGCTCTCGACAGCCTCAGTCAGGCCATAGCATTCCAGGTACCAGCTGTTTTTGTAAAAGGCACCATGCCATAGCTTCCTTGGGCCAGCAGTTTTATATTCCTTGTGAACTTTATTAATCATCTTCTCGAGGCAATCTGTGTCTTTCCCCTCCCCCTCCAAAATGTGAGGAGATAAGCTGTTTCTTCAAACTCTTTAGAGCAATATCAATGGAAGGTACCCATTGGTTCTTTCTAGATTTGCATAGCCCCACCAAACTTTTAATATTTATCTGATTTGTAATAGAATTGAGCAGTATTTTTGAATTAAAGTGAGTTTAGCCCAACAGGAAAGATTTTAGTAACTTTGCTTAGATAGGAAAAGAACTTGGAGGAGAAAAGGTATCTTGTCTGCATGGCCTAGGAGAGTGGGAAGTGGTGTGATTTGTGGTATATTTTGCCATGTTTTTAATTAATGCACCATAAGTAATATTAAACAGGACCCTGATTTTGTTTTGTTTTCTGAATCATATTATAGCAAGCCAAAATTGAAGAAGAACAAAAAAAGTGGAAACCCAGTTCAGGTGGTCCCTCAACATCAGATGATTCAAGACGCCCCAGGATAAAGAAAAGCACATATTTCAGTGATGAAGAAGAACTTAGTGATTAAGATTATTTTTATTATGTAAATATTAAAATTTAAAAAAATGTGTAAGTACAAAGTTTTGTTCAGGACTAAAGATTACTTTTAGAATTTGAGCGTAGTGGGCTCAGCAAGGTGTTGTGGTGGTTAAGGCAGTTGGACCCCACTGGGTGGTTTGAGTCCTGGATTCAACAGCTTAAAAAACATGCAGGGCACATGTACATGCATGCCCAAAATTCTGAGAAGAGGATGAAGGAGAAGGGATTGTAGCATGGTCATCCCCCCGGGCAGTGTTTTCTCACTTTCCCTCTTTGACTCTGTCAGTGCACACACCCTATAACAAAAATGTAAAACATAAAAGAACTTGAATATAAAACATTTAATATCAAATTTTTTTTTAGTACAAATAGCTCATGGAAGATATAAAAAGAATTGTATAGTACCATGTTTCTATCTTGCCCTAGCAAGAATCAAGATTTGCTAATAACGGGAACCAGCAGTTAGCATAATGGCTATGTCACTGGACTCCCACGTAGTCGACCGCGGTTCGCGTCCGGACCTGGTGGCTTAAAACTCACTCCGGGCGCGTGTGTGTGCGTGCCCGAGATCCCGAGAGGAGAATGGAGGAGAAGGGATTGCGGCATGACCATCCCCTCTGGGGGGTGATTTCTCGCTTTCTGACTCTATGTCTCTGTCTGTCTGGCGAGCGCATGCACCCTATAGTGAAAAAAACCTCTCCAAAAAAAAAAAAAGATTTGCTAATAACAATCTTGAAAACAGCTTAATAAAAGTAAGAAAATGTAATGCTGTCATTACAAGAGAACGTGAACCTCCAAGAGAAAAGATAAACATTAAATTTATTTGGAGGGCCAACAGGTGGCGTGGTGGTTGAGGCGTTGGACTCCCACATGGCTGACACAGTTCAAGTCCCAGACCTGATGGCTTGCTTTCTCACCCTGCTCTCCTCGGCGCCCCCCTCCCCCGTCTCTCTCTGGTCACATTAAAAAATAATTAAAACTAAATAACTGTTTTTAAAATTTTATTTTACAAGTTCATTATAAAAGCTTTATGTCTGATTGGCTTATATGAGGGTTTTGTTTGTTTTATAGGTTTTTGCCTTAAGGTATGTGTGCTCCCTGGGCAGAGAAAGAGAGACAGAGACAGTGAGATGAAAAGTGAGAAATTACCCCCTGGGGGAATGTCCACACCACAATCCCATCTCCTCCATTCTCCTCCCAGGATCTTGGGCACACATACAGCCACACTCAGTGTGTGTTTCAAGTCCAGGTCTTGAACTGTGGTCAGCCATGTGGGAGTCTAGCAACATAACTGCTATAACATCTGCTGGCCGCGAGGACTTTGTAAATAAATTTCATCTTTAAAACAAAAACTCCATGAAGACTGAAAAGTTGAATGATTCACTGCTAATAATAATGTTAAACTCTTAATGTGTGTTTTTTGTTATCTTATTTCTCTTTTGTCTCTCAATTATGGGTGTCTTGTTATCCTAAGAGATAAATTGTAAATATCCATAAAATTAAAAAGTAAAGAAGTTCTAAAAGACTTAGAACCAAACATAGCAATTATTTGCTGTGCTTTAAATTTTGTGTGTGTATATATATATATATATATATATACACACACACACACATTGCTAAAGAAAATATATGTTCTTTTGTCACTTAATTCGTAAAGAGAAAAGGAGGGGATCAGCAGGTGGTGTAGTGGTTAAGGTGGACTCCCACATGGTCAACAATATTTTGATTCCCAGACTTGGCAGCTTGAAAGTCATGCTGGATACATGTGCATGCATTCCCAAAATCCTAGGAGGAGAATAAAGGAGAAGGGATTATGGCATGGCCATCTCCCTAGGGGGTTTTTTCTCACTTTTCCTCTCATTGTGTTTCTCTTGGTGAGAAAATGTGCCTGATGGCAAAAACTTCCCCCCCCAAAAAAGAGAAAAGGGAGATTTTTTATTTTCTTTTTTTAAAGGTTTATTTATTTAATTTTATTTATTGTTAATATTTCATTTGCTATAAGGCACATAAGCTCACCAGAGAGAAAAAACAAAGTGACAAAGCAATCAGTCAGGTTTAAGACTCAAACCGCAGTCGGCCACTTGGGAGTCCAGCACTTCACCTCCCATGCTATCTTCTAGCTCTGATTTTTCATTTTCTTATACCCTCCAATACCTTCTGCTATCTTTCCAATGTAGCTGTATTAAAATTTTTGTTGGGAACAGCAGTTGGCATAATGGCTATGTCACTGGACTCGCACGTAGTCGACCGCAGTTCGAGTCCTGGACCCAGTGGCTCAGACTCACGCTGGGTACTTGTGCGTGTGTGCCCAAGATCCATGGAGGAGAAGGCATTACGGCATGGCCATACCCCCCCGAGGGTGATTTCTCGGTTTCTGCCTCTCTGTCTCTCTGTCTTTCTGGCGAGTGCATGCAAAAACCTCTCAAAAAAAAAAAAAGTTTATTTCATTGTATTTATTATTATTTTTACATTTGCTCTAGAGCACATATCCTCACCAGCAAGAGAGAGAGAGAAAATGAGAAAGCAAGCCACCAGGTCCAGGACTTGCACCATAGTTAGCCATGTGGGAGTCCAGTAACTTAACCACCATGCCACCTGCTGGGCCCCAGGTCAGTTATTTCTTACTGATTTTACAAAGTTGTGAAACCCTATTTGGATTGCTTTCTCTGGCCGCTATTTAGTTAAAGCCATGACGATTTGTGTACAACTGTGTGAACATATATTTTCATTTCTTGTGAGTGACTATATAGGAGAAAAATTGCTGGGCCACTAAGGTATATCTGTGTTCGACAGTTTCGACAATTACCAAACTACTTTTCAAAGTAGCTGCACTATTTTACATCCCCGTTAGCAATGTATAAGGACATCAGTTTTCCACATCTGCACTAACAATTGTTATTACCTAGGGGGTTACTGCCCTCTTTTTTTTTTTTAATCTTTTTTGAATAATTACTTTATTTAATTAATTTATTTATTTTAAATTTTTTTTTTTCGAGAGGCTTTTGTTATAGGGCACATGCACTCGCCAGAAAGACAAGAGAGACAGAAAGCAAGAAATCACTCCCCAGGGGGATGGCCATGCCGCAGTCCCTTCTCCTCCATTCTCCTCTCAGGATCTTGGACACGCACACACACACACCTAGCGTGATTTTAAGCCACTGGGACTTCAACCGCAGTCAACTACTTGGGAGTCCAATGATGCAGCCATTACGCCATCTGCTGGTCCCTTTATTTTATTTTAATTTGACCAGATAGGGACAGAGTGAGAAAGTAAGATGGAAAATGAGAAAGCAAGCTGCCAGGTCCAGGACTCAAACCACAGTAGGCCATGTGGGAGGCCATCATCCTTAACCACCACTCCATCTGCCTGCCTTCCATCCTGCCTTTCTTTAAAATTGTGAGATGCTATATGTGGTATACACTCCCCAGAGAGAAAGAAAGGGAGAGGGAGAAAGCATCCCCTAGTGGAGTGTGATCACACCATAATCCAGCTCTTCATTCTGTCAGTATTTTAGGCATTTATACCATATTCCCAGTGTGTTCTTCCCCCCCACTCCAGTAGGTTTTTCCACCACCAAGGCTAGGTATTGAAAAGGAGTTGGCCTTGTGAATCTGGCTCCATTAGCCACTAGGCTACAGGGTCAGCCCCATTATCTGTTTGTTTGTTATGGTTTTTGCTCTTTGTTTTTGTTTTCTTTTGTTTTTAGAAAGATTTTTGCTATAGCGTGCATGCACTTGTTGGAGAGACAGAGACAAAGAAAGCAAGAAATCACCCCTGGGAGGGTGGCCACACCACAATTGCTTCTTGTTCTCCTCAGGATTTTGGGCACACCCACACAATGTGCGTCCAGCATGAGTTTTAAGCTGCCAGGGCCAGGACTTGAATCATAGTCAACTATGTGATAGGCCAGTGATGTAATTATTATGCCATTTGCTGGTCCCTGTTTGCTTTTTTAAGGAATTGCTTGTTGGGAGATGGGGGAAGACCAGCAGATGGTGTAACGGTTAAATCTCTGGACTCCTACATGGCCAACCATGGTTCAAGTCCCAGACTTGGCAGCTTCAGTCTCAAGTTGGGAGTGTGTGTGTGTACCCAAAATCCCCAGAGGAGAATGGAGAAGAAGGGATCGAGGCATGGCTCTCCACTCTGGGGGGGTGATTTTTCACTGTCTGTCTCCCTGCCTCCCTCTCTATTTCTCCAGCAAGGGCATGTGCCCTATAAACAAAAACAAAAAAAAAAAAACTTAAAAAAAAATAAAAGATTGTTTGGGTTTTTTAAATATCTATTCTTGTGGGAATGAATGTTATCTCACTATTATTTTTATTTACATTTTCTTAATAACTAATAATATTGGATGTATTTTTGTTGTTGTTAAGAGAGACTTTTGCTATAGGGCACGTGTGCTTGCCAGAGAGACTGAGAAAGACAAAGAGACAGAAACAAGAAATCACCCCCCAGGGGCGTGGTAACACCACAGTCCCTTCTCCTCCAGTCTCCTCTCAGGATCTCAGGCATGCATGCGCATGCACCTGGTTTGAGTTTTAAGTCACCAGGTCTGGGAATTGAAACATGGTCAACTATGTGAAAGTCCAGCTATATAACCATTATGCCTTTTTCTGGTCCCTTAAGCATATTTTAATGTGTGTGTTGGCCATTCATGTGTCTTCTTTGATTCAATATTTATTTAAATCTTTTACCCATTATTAATCTTGTTCCTGAGATGTAAGAACTCTTTTTATACTGTGGTGTGAATCCCTTATCAGATATATGAGTTACAAATATATTTTCCTATCTTATGGCTTGTCTTTTCATTTCTTAAAAGAAGTGTCCTTGGGGGGGGCCAGCCTCCAATTGGCTACCATTATGTAGGGTCTCATGACTATGAGACCACCCTAGATATAGCATAACCTATAGGACATGTGCCCTCCTACCACAGGAGAACGTGTGCAGAGATTCTTCCCAACTGGGATATAAACCTTGAACCCCAAACCACGTGGCAGCAACCCATTTTGGGACCCCACCTTTCTTCTTGGAGCTCTG